GTGTGAGTGTGCATATATATTTTTATATGTTTTGTGTGAGTGATGTGTATATATTTTGATAAAGTGTGGTGTGAAAGTGTATATATATATATATATATATATATATATATATATATATATATATATATATATATATATATATATATATATATATATATATATATATATATATATATATTATGATTTGGAGTATAGAAGTCGATGAATTTGCTACGTTTCCTACAATGGCATATAAGCATTTTGAATCATTTCGACGTAAAATTTTACTTCTTTATTTTGTATATATTATATTGTAGGATTATGCTTGTTAAGGTGTTTACTGTTAATTATCTTATGTCGATGATTTTAAAATATGATATATATGATAATTATCTTATGTCGATGATTTTAAAATATGATATATATGATATGATACATGATCACATAAATAAAATGATAAAGTCTTATACTTACCGAGTTATTACTCACTATAAAACCTATTTTACAGGTAGGGATACTAGTACCCCTCCCAAGTGATTGGGCAGGGAAGTGAGCACGTGCAAGCTCATGCTAATGTAAATATGGACGATGACCTATGAGCATTTTGTATGTATAAATTTTAAGCATATTATATTTGTGTTTTCTTTTGATTAGATGTTATAACTATGTACATGTGTCAAAAATACTATATACAGGAAAAACTCTATCAGCATGTTTTAATTTTAAGATTGTCTAATTTCGACTGCACTCCTATTAATGACAGTAATAAAAATAAGATATCCTATTTTAATCATGTGTATGGGCGAAATTAGGAGTAGGATGTTATAAAATGAATGGGTAGGAACTCCCGTTAATTGGCTCTTCTCTGATGCCTTGTGACAAAGTGGACTATAAGGAGGGCTTGAATGCAGTTGGCTCCTTCTCCTAAGATTGCACCTCCTGACTCAACGGTAACACTAGGGATATATTTGGGTGAGATTGCAACTGAATTGGTTGGATGCCACCTGTAAACAACGTCACAATTATAATGGTTGATGGCTGACATCGTGGATTTCCAATGTCAACATCACTATTGGGCGACTATTTGGTTGATGTGTTGGGTTGACGAGATAGATGACATGTCATTAGATTGCCAACAAGTCTGAACTCCCTTAGTATTTCTAATCAAATTCTCTCCTCTCCGAGTCTCGTCGGATCGGATCTTCAATATTATGTCCCATATTGTACCATGGAGATCTCCTTCCCCCATCTCAACGACATTTGATTTCTCCGTCTTGTTCGAGAGGTTTTCTTCCCTTCAATTCTCTCTCAAGAATGCGACATCCAGTTGTGCTTCCTCTCCAAGCATTCCTCACTTCATATCTCCATCCCTCGTCTGCCATGTGACACACAGAGTATCTCCTTCCCCATCATCAGGACATTTGATTTCCACATCTTGCTTTGAGGGTTTCTTCCTTCCTTCTGATTGGATTCTCCGATCGTTAATTTCTGTATCTTGCTTTGATAATAACCACTAGAGTTGTGCTTATTCCAGCACTTGTGTTGGACAAATTCCAGTTTCCAACTGCTGCAAAAGAGGCAAGTAGTAGACACTTTTCGACTAGAAACAAACATTAGGGTTTCTTTTTAGTATCATATTACCTTGATGGCCATCAAAACAAAATAGAAAAGTTCTGCCAAAGTTCCCTCCTACTATTAGACACTTATTATGTTCGCTAAAGACAGTTCTAGGAATGGTAGTGACATGGAGATTCTTACTATTGGTTTGATTGGTCTATCAAAAATTAAGTTACAGGCTAACCAGTCCAAGAGATAGTATTTTGTCTATAACACCATGGTATATAGAAAGCCAACGTAACTAAACTACTAAATGTTTTGTCTATAACATCTTGGCTGCTACAACAACGGTTCACAGCCATCCCAACAAGGAGATCCTTGGAACAGATTGGTACATGTCACTCGCTGATATAAATAAGCTCAGACATACTAAGGATTTAACACTACTAAATGTTTAGGCCGTGCCAGCATTGTAATGATTCCTTGTAGAAGAGATTCTGGATTAGTATCACTGAAAACAATTGACACAGAATCTAGGTTCAGTGTCAATCGAAGTTACAAGCATTGCATCTCAAGCAGAATCATATAGTCAAGTGATATCGAAAACACTAAAAAGTGAAAGTTCGATATCAAGTTCCTGTGGAAGAACAAGGTCTGGTTATTATATGCCGATTATATTGAAAAGATTTCTTTCCTAAATCTGGTTTAATTAGCCCCTTCAAGTTCATTATATCATCAATTATTCAGAAAAGGAAAAGACTAGAAGATATGTCACTAATTAGAATCAGTCATGACAAAACCTTATTAGTACCAGAAAACTCAACTTAGGCGCAAGGAAACAATAATCAAAATTACATAGGTGAATCCTAGCCTACAGCATAGATTATCATTCAATTATTAGGTTGTTAGCTTTAAAGCTATTTAGACAATGGCAATTGAAAGTTATTATTGGTGAGCAAATGCCCAACTAATCCCTTTATACTACTTTAGGAGATATCTAGTGTAACACAAATAATCCCAAATAGTCCAAGGGATATTTGGATAAAGAAAAGCTAGTGTAACACTCAAATTTGTACTGTGGTTCTGAAGATGCAAGTAAACAATCAAACAATGGCATTGTATTGTTCAACTTGTAAGTTCTGTTCTTCAAGTACATGGTTTTAGCTAATGAAAGTATAATCACAAACACTTTAAACAATCAGATACTACATAGACACACACACAAACAGAGCCAGCAAGCATATGATACACGCATCAAGCAACGAGCATCTTAAGTCAATGTCTAATTCAAGATGGAATATAATATGGGTTGCAGTAAGAAAACAATGTTGTGATCATAATCACATCCTAAGATTCACATTGTAAGTCAAAATTTTATGTCAGTACTTTCTCTAAACAACGAACTTACCTCAAAAAAAGGGAACCTTTTATAGATCTGCTTCTACTCCAAGATTGCAGTTGTAGATGTACTGAGCCAGAGCTCCAAGTGAGGAGTCCAAATCCTTCTTTTGAAAGATTAGGAGGCAACTCCCATGAAGCCCCAAATTTGTTGGAATGGATGATGAACCAACTCCAGTTCTAAAAGCTTGCATCTCTGCCAATCTTCTGTTCTAACATTTGTTCTTCTTTCTCTTATTATACTGTTCTTTTTTATCCTTTAGTCGCCCTAATTTTTCTTTTGAAAGCTTGCTTCTTTCTTCCTCATTGGCTTCGATTCTAGCCTTCTTTTTCTTCCTCTCCACGTCGCTACCAGAGTCACCTACGCCTCCACAACGATTACCATATCGATCCACCAAATCGGCGTCTTCCACAACCTCTCCATCGACTTGCTCATCTCTGCCGCTCCTCCTCCTCTTTTTCTTGTTCCGCTCCTCGTCCCCCTCCTCCTCCATCAACGACTTCTCAAGCTCGGAGCGCTTGCTGGCGGCTCGGATCTCGTGACAGAAGCTGACGAGCTCGTCAAAGGCAGCGGAGGCGCAGCGGACGTAGGCGGCGACATCCGGGCGGGCGGCATTCTCGTTCGCGGCGAAGCGGGAGAGAACGGCGGAGGCCTTCGCGAGAGAGATGTGCTTCGAGCGGACCACGGATCCCCTCACCGCCCTCATCGCAAACTACATAAAGAGAGACAATGAGGAAGCAGAAGCGGAGTGCGGCCGCTTAACGCTCCTCCTAACTCGGGTCTATAGGGTTTTGGACGCCATGTCGACTCCGGGGTCTCTATCCTCTAACAGGGTTAATTACATATTAACACTTATGTTAGACATGTTTAGCATGTCAATTTCTAAACTTAAAAAAAATTACATTAAAATTTTTATAATTATAAAAATAAAATATTTAATTATAGTTATCCTAACATTATCGAGTTACTGACGGAAGATATCGCACGTGACAACGTATACATTAATGACACAAAATAATGGATAAAAATATAATTTTAATAATTATGATAATGATGACATCATGGGTAGCTATTATGGTGGTGGTTCATGATAACACGTGGTGGTCAACGCTCAAATCATTGGATGGTAGTTTCATCCAATGGCATAATAAATTTGAGAAAGGGGGTCGAGGGTGATAAGGAGGTAGAGGTTGTGAGTGAGCTCGACGAAAAGGCACGCTTGCTTCAAGCTATCGAGCTTTAGTTAGCATGTGAACGATGCGTACACCCTAGCCATAGTGGCATGGTCGACAACCTACTTCCGGATCAACTTTGCTCGCGATTGGAGGGGATCCAATCAGACGACGAGGACTGATCATCGTACAAAATGGAGGCTCGAAAAATACAAATCTGACGATGAGAGAGACAACAAAGCCTCATCCTCCTTCCCGCTCAGTCACCTCCGATATTGTGGTGGTGGGGGAGAGTATTAGAAAGATGACAGTGACGGATACGATCGGATCTGTACTCTTTTGGCCTTCATTTTGTGTGACGATCAGTCCTTGTTGTTCGATTGGATCCCCTCCGATCGCGAGTGGAGTTGATCCAGAAGAAGGTCGACAACCATTCGTGTGGCCGACATCTACATTGTGGCCAAGCCATACGCATCGTTCATGCACCGGCTAAAGCTCGAGGGCTCGAAGCAGGCATGCCTCTTCGTCGAGGTCGCTCGCAACCTCTCTCTCCCTCTTGCTGCCCACCGCCCCCTTCCTCGAATCTTTTGTGCCACTAGACTAAGTGACTGTCCGAGGATTTGAGCATGGCACCATGGTGGTAGCCTCACTTGCCTCATCTTTCTCCTCCGACGCCAACATAGATGTCTCACTTGCTCTGCCTCCTCTTCATCCTCGTCGTTAATATTTGGATCAACATTGGTAAGGTCAACCACCACCACAACAGTCACCCACAACACCATCGTCTACAACCACCATTAAAATTACCTTGTTACTTATCGTTTTCGTGTTATTTATGCACGTAACATCACATACAGTATCTTTTATCGATAAAGTCGACGACGTTAGAATAAATAAGATTAAATATTTTATTTTTATAACTATAGGGATTTCGATATAAATTTTTTAAGTTTATAAATCTAGATGCTAAATTGATCTAAGGATAATATGTAATTAACCCCCTATTCATGCAGAGGCGCATGAGCCCATAATCTACAGCAGCCGTTGGATCAACAACGAATTCAAATTATACTATATGTAGAAGTCCCGAATCAATCACTACGACATGTATCGACAACTCACGTATCAATTTGTTGGTCTGAATCAGACATCTGTGGAGCGAAATTGTATGGATCCAATATCCCAAATAGAGTCAACTCTATTTTTTTTCCGCTGGAGTACATTCAAAGAGCATCGTATTGATTTATCAACCTAAAATGACAGATTCAAAGAGGACATTCATCATATTGAATCAATTGCTACAGAATTTTTTTGTAAGATGATCTATGTCATTCACGAGTAATATGCTAATTCACAAGCATGCAATAGCTTTCAGAAACTGATGCATTGAGGAAAACCTAGTTTTGGTTGCATCTCTCAAAGTTACTGAAAGGTCATACCTCCCTGTTGGCTTCTGGGATCAACTAGTCCACCAGAGCAATAGGCTGCAGCCCTTCAAATGGAAGGCATCACCCACAACATAGGCTTCAAGGATCACATAAGCACAGGATGTCCTATAAGAAGGTTGTAAGATCTATTAAACCTACTTAAGGCCCATAGGTCTTTCATGAGGAAGAATGATCGGACAATGCACAAATTGCAAAAAGGGAATGAACCTCATACCTTTCATGAGGGGAGAAAGATGTTCTATCATCGAAGACAAGCAATGACAACGGGAACTTGGCATTAATCAAATGTTTCCAGTGGTATAACTGACACAAGTGACTCTGATAACAAGCTTTTGCACAACAAAGAACAACAGAGTACATAATATCCCTTATAATGATTCCATAACCCTTAATAGGAGAAACACCACTATAATACATATAAAAGAGAGCAATGAGAACAGAGCCCGTGATCATATTTGGAAAACATTGGTCTGAAACCTTTCATCATACAACCTCCAATGCCCATATCTCTCTGTATGGAACATGGATCTTGGGATGTAGAAGTTGGGTCTTATGAGTGTCTTAAGATTCTTCAGATTGGTGGAAGCTTGCTCTATCCCTCTGCTCGTTAAATTAGCACACCCAAAGAGATCCAAGAATTCCAGATCTCCACAACCCTCTGACACTGAAATGAGACCACTAACAGATAGTTTGGAAAAGCGGAGTTCAACATGCTTCAGCTTTGGCATGAACCTGCCAATTGTCATAGCCTCCCTGTCTCCATCTTGAGGACAGGCTCTTAAATACTCATCTGGAACTATACCAGAATGCTGTGAAGGGTCAAGCCAGTTCAACAGGTTCCTTTTGAGAATTTTCAGATTAGCGCAGTTCTGCCCAATCATCTCAAGCGACTTGTAAGAAATTTCATAACAATTGCTTATGTCTAATTCACCAAGCAAGGGGCAGCAAGTTGCAATCTTGAACATTGATCTATCAGTTACACTCTGGCTACTCCTTATTGACAGGGTTTGCAAATTCAATGACCTAAAAATATAGTTGATTACAAAAAATTAATAGCAACTTTTGGTTCAAAAGAGAAAACAAAAACATTCTGGTTTCACTTAATGGCCAAAAAGACCTTTCGGCAGTATGTTATAAAAACTGGGGTGATACTTTAGTATATATGCACATAAGAAAGCAAGGAAGACATCCGAGATCAGTAAAACTAGAATAATTGCAGGTTATTTACCTTTGTTTAATCCATTTTTACATTTTAGCTACTTGTGTTTTGAAAATATCACTTTGGACACCTGAATGTACCTTCATTTTATTTTCACTCATGCCATTATCCTCTTCTATGAGTTCTCAGAAAATTGTCATTGTTGCAGACATGCATATATTGATCCTTTTTAGATGATGTAATGATATGAGTGAAAAACAAAGGTTAGTGTGAACTGGCCTAAGAAGTGGATAATCTGTAATTACCCCACAAATTTAAACAAAAAATGCACTTATTCAAAGCAATATAATAGATACAATTATGCCCATATTTATCAGTGAATTACAAGACAGTTCAGCAAGTCATTGTTCCTTCTGAACACAATTGGCCCATGAATGCATCATAAGAGAGAGACACTTCATGTTTTTCATCCACAGTTTTGACATAGTGACAGGTTAAACTTGCAAAGATCATTCATGCATAGGGCTGCAAGCCTGCAACTCAGGCGGGCTAACAAACTGAATCCACAAAGCCTAAGAGGCAGGTCAACACAAACTACCCTTCTTCTATTTTCTTTCTCAACCTATTTTCTCATTGTTCTGACACTCTTTCTCATATCTATCTGCATTGTGCTACTTATTTTTGCTGTTCCATAATGATCACAACTTATGCACCACTCCTCTCTTAAGGTAACATATTTACCATTGGTTTAGTCTAAACAAGCCCTGTGCTGATCAAATCTCCGCTTTAGACAAACATCAAGTACTTTGATAACAGGTGTTTGCTCCAACACAAGATTCCATGTTTGTATTGCGGCGAGGAGAAAATAATCATTGTGGAATCAATATGAAGCTCAGAGGACTCGATATACAGTGCCCAACTGGGACCTAATGGATTTCTGAAATGGAAATAAGTTACTTGAATGAAACCCACGAATGGTCCGAGTGGTTAAGACCTAAAAGTTGGTTGGATGATCCATAATTGTTGACATGATAATATGGGAAATGGGGACCATGATATGAAGGATATAGATTGAAACAAAGAAGACGTAGAAGTTTATAGATGAATGAAGAAGACCAAGGATTGAGGTAGAGGATTAAAGAGGGAAAAGTGGAGTTGATGGATCCAAGTAGGAGAAGCATGAAGGATGATGAACAAATTCAAGTAAACATACTTGTAGATGGTAACTTATTTCTCATCCTAAACAAAAGAACTCTTATCCTACCGTCACCAAATCACTAATTATATATAAACAAAAACACCAATATTATGCAAAATGGATCAAAGAATTATATTTGCATCAATTAGCACAAAATTCTAATCTTAGAACATAATAGAACCGTAACGAGAAAAAATACATGGGATCGAAGCATATTACCTCTCGGCAGCGAAGCAGAGGGCCTCATCAGAACAGTGACGAACTCGGATTTCTCGGAGCGACCCCTCCGCCCACACCGCGGCGGATCGGAGCATGGCGTCGACGCGCCGCTGGAACGCCGGGGTCCACCACTCGGCGGCATCGGCGCGGCTGGATCCGGCGGATTCGAACGCGGGCTCGAGGTCCACGGCAGCGAAGAGGGCCGGGTCCCGCGCCGCGGCGAGCCACGAGCGGCACACAAGCATCGCCCCCTTCCACCGGTCCTCCAGGGTCAGCCTGCGGAGCACGTTAGCCAGGCACACCGGGGTCAGCTCCGACCAATCGCGGTTCGCCTCCGCCTCCCTCGCCCCTTCCTCGATGACCTCCGCCATGGGGCTTGCATCACTGGATCGGATTTGGAGAACACCGAAGTATATGAGGTTAAGAGGAACGGGTCGGGTGATCGACGCGATAAGTATACCGGCGACATTGTCATCAAATCCAGTGTAGTTAGGCCCGGCCCAGAAACCATCAAAATCTCCCTAAAAGGACCCGACCCGATCCGTATTCTCAAATCTAATGGATTCGGATCCATGCGAGTGCGGATCCGTAGCATCGGCCCTTTTATGGGGTCGAATCCCTAACTCCATGTCGATGATAATAATTCCTTCCTCCAATCCACGGTATAGTCGCCACTCTATCCTCCAAGCCCGCATCGTTCTTCGGTTGGTGCTTTCTTCTCGCCTCCTCTCCAGGGAGAAGCGCGGGAGTCAGGGTTGTCTCTCTCCGATGCCGTCTACGAGCGCTGTCAGTGGCCATTTCTCGGACGTGCTGAGACCAGCTTCGTGGAGACCCTCCGCCTTTCCCTCCTCCCTCTTACGTGAGTGTGGGTTTATGATCCAAGACGCTCTCTCGTCCTCTTAAATGTTCATATTCATCTTGTAAATTTGATCTTGCATTTGGTTTTTCTTCCAATTCCGTGGCCGTTGCGCGGATAGCTTTGCCTTTGAACCAAAGAAATCCTTCGGGTATCTAGAATTTATTCCCCTAATTAGACTCTTGGACTGTCTTGTGATCAGGACATATTGAAGTATGGATTAGCTTCTCCTTGACATATAATTTGGACCCCATACACTCTCTGCAATTACCTTGCCTTGAATCAGGAATAAACTTGGGTGTTTGGTGTAAAGTTCCTTGGCATATATTCTTTGATATAATTCTGTGAGTTCTTGATGTAGGATTAAAATTTAAATTTATCAACAGGTTCCACATTTCATCTTATATATATATGTGTGTGTGTGTGTGTGTGTGTGTGTGTGTGTGTGTGTGTGTGTATACATACATGCATACATATATATATATATATATATATATATATATATATATGTATGTGTGTATATATACATATATAAATACATACATACATATATATGTGTATATATATATATATATATATATATATATATATATATATATATATATATATATATATATATATATATATATATATATATATATA